GGCAGTAGATGGCGACAACATGCAATTAAGGACCGAAAACAGTAATGAGTGTCTACGATGACGGGGTCTACATGAAGTCCGGTGCTTCATTCGACAGGTTAAAACGAGTTATGAAAACGCCGCGCCCATCGCCGCGCGTGGCGGTGCGGCGAATTACGATCCTCTTTACCGTCTCCCGGGGGATCCAAATGGCCCTCAGTTGAGACTGTTGCGGGGAATGCTATTTCACAACAGACAGAGAATCGCTCGGTTTCCCGGACGATCCTGCGTACAGAATTTTACAAAATGGCTCTGTGTGCTGGGAGGAATCGATAAAATGCCTCGACATTGTTACACAAATCCCCAGTGGTGAGTATTACTTCAAACGAAACCTCACCTCTTCTCCTTATATTAGCCAAACAGATTTTCATGGGAACAAAGTACAAACTTACACCATGACGAATCTTGTTCATTTCAGCAACCGTAGTCCATTCATTGATGACAGGATCGTATTTTTCAGCTGAACTCATTTTGGAATTAGTCTCGTCTGCACCTCCTACCGCATACAAGTGACCATCGAGGACTGCAGAACCGAGCGATCTCCGACGCGTTGACATTGGACGAACCACTTCCCATTTACCAGCTCGTGGATCAAGTCTGAACTATGATACGCCAAATTCGTATTTCGTTTATCTGCACTAGGCTAGGACAGTTTCATTGCAGGTGTGCGTATATGACAAGAAGCATATCAAAATCATTTCTTTCAGAACACTGAAACACCGACCAGGGTTTCCGAAATTTCGCCATCGAGCGGATGAATCTACACAACTCATACTGTCGCAGTCAGTCGAGGCGGTGTCAAGAGACAATAAATGAGCCCACTCATTACGTTTCCAGCAGAAGTTGTTTTATTCGATTACTCACAAATCACTATTAGTAGATAACGGTGCCTGTCGCGGGCTAACCCCATTTCTTCTGATACCGCTCTGACTAAAGGCAACGATACCAAAACTATGGACAAACTATACTCATCCTTCGATCAACTATCAGAAACCAGTCGGCTCGCCGGCTGACGCCGGCCGGGCTTTGCCGGGATGACGCGGCTTCGCCGCGCTTCCTTCTTCCACATGTTTGTATACCCAACTAATATCCGAGTTTTCTTTTATCTAAGCAGATGACCAACGCTCCTTGACCAATAACATATTACCTGCTATTTTCAGCACTATTACTGTGCATGGAATTGTGGTAAGGAGCGTTGATGAGTTGCAGAGAGAGAAGCTGGGAATTAGCCGGCGAGCCGACTGGTATTAAATGTACCTATAACGACCAGTGGTTAAGTGTATGGCTGCCGATGCACTGAAGCTCAGTAAAAATAGGCAGCTCGTGCTTGAGGGCACGCACAGCCCACTGTGGGCGGGTCTCTACACACCACAGACACACTCAACTTTCGCCACATGTTTCTTTTCTCCAACGATTTCTTATGATCTCCAAAGTCACTCAGGTCCCGTACTGTAAAATTTCGTAGCAAGCACTGCCCAACTCGAGCACGCCCCTCCTCCCATCTTGAGGATATCCGTCCCATTTCATCCACTAACTCCTTGTGTACTTCAGTCCACATGTCCCCGGTGCATATGCTGCTCTGCAAGCAACTCGTGATTTTTGACTCTCGTCCTCCCACCTCGACAACTGCTTCCCGCAATAGGCATGTCTATCTCACTTGAATGATCGAGTCCCTGCAACCTCTGCTTGCCTTTTGCCGATGTCTGGACTGCTATGGGGACGTTTTAAAGTTTTTTCTCTTAGGCCCGCCCACCTCGCCACAAGTGCCGCCCGCAACGGATGTGCCTCGCACATCTGAACCGATGATACATCGCTCACATTAATCCGCTTTCTTCCCGATGTCTGGAGTGCTCTGGAACCGTTTCACGAAATTTCAAATCTGGCTCCCTCTCCGCACGCTCCGCGCGCCGCAATAGGCGCACCCCCGCACTTCTCCAGCGGTGACCCATCGCTGACATTATCCACTTCTTCCCGGTGTCTGGAGTGCTCTGGAAGCGTTCAATAAATTTTTCGATTTAACCCCGCCCACTCAGCGCACGCCCCGCCCACATCTGGTGCATCTCGCACTTCTCAAACGATGACTACTTGGGGACCAATCATAAGTTACTTGTTTTGCGTCGTCGCTCTAGGACCAGACTACAACTTTTTTCACCTTCTTGTTTGGCTCCGCCCACCACGGGGCAGGCTTCGCCCACAACTTGTATGCCTCACAGTCCTAACCGGCGGCCACTTGCGCTCGGTTCCAGAGCACCTTCAAAGAGCGGAGAAAAATGGTTTAAGGCCGGCAATGGCCGCCAGTTAGGACTGTGGGACATACAGGTGTGGGCGAAGCCTGCCCCGCTGTGGGCGGAGCCAAACAAGGTCTGTAAAACGGTTCCAGAACACTCAAGAGATAGAAAATGCGGGACACGTGGTGTCTGGAGACCGCTTCAAGGTGAACGGAGCCCGAAAAAAAAATCTGAAAAACCGTCCCAGAGCAGCCTCAAAGGCCGGAGAAAAAAGGGTTAAGGCCAGCGAATGGTCGGCGGTGAGGAATTGGGGCTCCTATGTTAAGGGCGGAGCCTCCCCCGGTGTGAGCGGAAACAGACAGAACCCTGTAAACTGTCCCAGAGTACTCCAGACACTGTCTAAAAGTGACAGTGGTCAGGAGGGATCACCGGTCGATACGGGACACACCCGCTGTAGGTGGAGCGTACGGCGGGGTGGGGGAGCAAAACTTAAAAATTTGTGGAGCGGTTGCAGAGCACATCAGACACTGGGGAAAAAGTGGACTGGGGTAAACGAGAGGTCACCGGTTTGAGTGTGCAAGACACATCCATCGTGGGCGGAGCGTGCGGCAAGGTGGGCGGCGCCAAACGCAGAAATCTGTAAAATGGTTCTAGGACACACTACAGACAGAGGGCGAAAGGCGAGCAAAAATGTGCAGGAGCTCCGCTATAGAAGCGAGATTTACGCGCCCATTGTGTGCGGAGCTGTGTCGATGTGGGCGGCGGGCGAAGGTCAAAAATTCACGAATTAGTTGCAGAGCAGCATAGGCACCGGGGACAAGTGGGTTGAGGTCCACAAGGGGTCAGCGGACGAAATGGGAGACATTCCGAAAATGGGCGGCTAGTTTCTAGATGGGCGGTGCTTGCTGCAAAATTCCGTGGTTGAATGAGCTGATGATGATCTAAATGAGCTTTAAGATCAGGGAAAACTTTTGGAAAAGAGTGACATGTAGCGAGACTTGAGTATCTGTGGTTTGCTGAGCCCACAGTAGGTGGAGCGTGTTCTCAAGCAACATGATTTCGCTGCGTTTCAATGCATAGGCCGTCATAACACCTGTCGTCACAGGTACATTTGATTCCAGTCGGTTCGCTGGCTGACGCCGGCGCGACTCTCTAATACGGCCAGGCTTTGCCGGTTTTGCTTGGCTTCGTCGCGCCTACCTGCTTCCGTATGTTTGAATGCTCAACTAATACCGGCTTTTCTCTCATCTGCCCGCTTAATCAACACTGCTTACCACCACTCCAGACGGTAATAGTGTTGAAAGTAGCAGGTATGATGTTATTGGTCAAGGAGTGTTGACAATGTGTACAGGTGAAAGAAAAGCCGGATAAAAGTATGAGAAGGTACGCGCTGCGCCCGCCCAGCGAAGCCGGGCCTTATCACAGAAGGAGACACTCTTGCGACAGCCGGCGAGCCGACTGGTTATACAGATACAATGGGTGACAGAAGCGTTCTGCTGCGGCTAGGAGGGGGGGGGGTGGGGGGACCGCGTGAAAGAGATAAGAATCAACAGTCGGAAAAAATATCTCGGCCAATGAAGACACCGGACACCAAAACGCGGCTGATCCACAAGATAACGCGGAACAGGTAAAAGTCGTAAACTCCGCAGAAGTGGGTGAAAACTGGTTGGAAGAACTCCAACAGGATCCAGAGTACGGCGCAGTGATAGCTAAGATTAAGGAGGGTAAGCTCTGTGAAGAAGTGAGGTTACCGCGACAGGAGAGACCGCTCCGTATAGCCGACTTCTGTATCGACCGCAACAACCTGTGCTTGATCCTGGAAGACGGTACCACAGCAAAGGTAGTACCACACTCACGCAGACGCGCAATCTTCGAAGAAGCACACGCAGGAGTGCTATCAGGGCACTTTAATGCACGCAAAATTTTCCAGAGACTGAAAAAGGTGGTATTCTGGGAAGGAATGCGTCAAGATATCGCTCTGTGGTGTAAACAATGCCGCGATTGTTTTCTTGACGAACAACCGAAAAGACTATGTACCCCCTCTCAAAGCTCTACAGATAATGAGGCCGTTCGAAGTGGTAGGGTGGACGTGTTGGAAGTTGGATTGTCGTCAAGTGGTAACAGATATCTAGTCGTGGTCATCGACCACTTTTCGAAATGCCTGGCGGCGTATTCAACACCCACAAAAACCGCAGAAGACATAGCTACACTGCTATTTGACAGGTGGATCTGCGAAGGAGGCAGATGGCCGAAAACCATACTGTCGGATCGAGGGAAAGAGTTCGAGAATAGCGTGATGGAGGCACTTTGTGAGGTTTCAGGAATATCGCAGACCTTTACGAAGGGATATAACCCCCGCGAAAACGGAGTTACTGAAAGAGCGAATCAAACCCTCTTAAGAATGCTGAAGAAAAGGGGAGGGATAACAGCAGAATGGGACAAAATAGTTCCCAATGTCACTTATGCGTATAACGTAAGCCCACATACCGCTACGGGAGAGCCCATTTTTTGTTTTGCACGGGTTCGACCCTGTATATCCCTCGAGCGTGATACCATCTAGTGAAGTATCACCCTATCGCATAGACATAGACAACTATTATATAAGGCTGATCTTATGGCAGGAATGGAAGCTAACGCAGGAGCTCATAAGAGAAAATGCCCAAAGATACAGAAATCAGATGAAAACATATTATGATAAACGGCAAGATGTCAAGCCAGATAAGCTCCCCAAGGTAGGAGAGAGAGTGTTTTTAAAATGCCTACCGAGAAAAGCAAATCGGAGCATCCAAAACTAATTCACGAATGGGCGGGACCATATCGCGTTATAGAGACTAGCGATAACTCTGCGCTAATAACAGAAATAGGTGAAAAGTCTGATCCCATAAGAGTACAGCATGATTTGCTCCGCAGAGGGTCCGCTTGCATAGACGATACACCTCTAAAAACGAGAATTAAGAACTAGGAAAAAAAAGTTGCAGTTGTAGTACACAACGTTATCATAAATGATGAGTGTTGTTTCAGGAGCCACCCGAAGCAATTGATCATGGCGGAAGACACCGCACATCCGCTACATGTGAACTTCTCGTGCAGTGTAAAGGCGCTTGCGAAGCCGCCCGGAAACATTCAACAGGATTTCGCTTAAACGTGCCGTGTCCGCTGCTAGCAGAGGATGGACAACTGATGCGTCTGGATCGAGTACTGAAAGGACTGCCAAACCACATGCAGAACATAAAATTCGAAAATGTCTGCCAACTGGCACAGCTCGTGGAAATCTGGCTGAAGGACGACCTTTCAGAAAGAGAAAAATTAGTGCTCATGGCGAAAAGAGCCAACGACTTTTCAGCAGAAGCCTTGGCCGTGGCCCTATTGTTTTACAGAGAACACTGCTTGCACTTCCAGTTAAGTGAAGAAAAACTGGAGCCAGGTGACTATTACCATGAATACATTCGTATCGGGCCCACGCGTAAGCAAATCAGCTCGATCTTTCAAGCCGCCATGAGTATGATTCGTGGCAAGAACTGGGAACGCCCTTGGCAGAAGCCCCGTCGTCTGCAGACAATCATGGTCCCGGCGAACCTGGAACACCTCCTGAAATGGATACCAGACAGTGTCAAATGTGTGGTCTACGACAACAACAACCTGCCAACCCCTGAGGACAGGAGCGACCTCCTGCTGATAATTGGAAATACATTCGCAGATAGGGAGAACGCGACCGTGGCTGGAAAGCCTAAGGGGCCGAGACATTTGCCTTGTTATGGGCATCGCGCCGCGCGAGCACAACTCGGAGGAAAATATTCGTCTGTGGGAACAGACAGCAAACAACATATCGGACATCGTCCAATCAACGACCAAATGGATGGATATCAAATGGCTCGGGAATGAGGCCCCACCTGCCCAATGGGACAATCCCATTCGCTGCCTAGGCAGCGACCCTTATGATGTCTTCGGCACCATTGGCCGTTTCAAAATAAGAATCTGGTATCAAAAAGTGACAAAATATTGGGCACCATCGTGGCCAGAACCACTAACCGAAGCGAGAGGGTATGAAAACCCCATGTTTTCGAAGTCCACAAACAGGAAAAGAGCCAGTCACGAAACTTTTATGGACACCAAGCGCAGAAGGTCCGATGACACAAGCAGTCGATCGCCCTTTACCACGTGAGTTCAAAAGTAAGATCGTGAGAGTGTGAATGAAGAGTGAAGGGACCACTCTCTTAAAAACCCGGGGGTTGTGAGCAGAGAGTGCATGTTTCTTTTTTTTGATAAGCAGATCATCGGTCAAACTAATTGATTTTTTTACAGATTGCGCGGGAACACGCGGCAGACAGCCTATTTCTATTTAGCGTCGCAGCGAAGCGCTCGAAAAGACTTATTCTGGTTCTCCGTTCCCTTCGTATGTGGAGGCTGAATATTCACTTCCCGTGTTTTCATCGTGGTATTTTTTTTCTGCTATCCCACTGTCTCTCTCTGAGCAGTTTCTTTTTTTGCATTTACCTGTAATCAACTCCGTTATCCCCTCTCTCTTTGAGAATTTTTTTGTTTATACCTGCAATAAACTGTTTGTTGTCACCTGTTTGCAACTATCGAGCACTAGTGGAACAGCGGGTAAGCACTGCTAGCGTACTTAAATCTGTTCTTTTTTGTGACAGAATCCTTACTCTAGTCACAATCATCACCTCATAAAGCACGCATCAACTAACCTCTCCACAGTAGCTAAAGACGATCTTCCATCTGAACCTCCTATGGCATATAAACAGCCATGAAGCACAGATAAAGAAAGCTCAGCTCGAAGTGTGCCCATTGGTGCCACGTGGTTCCACTGATTTCGCCGGGCGTCGTAGCTGCAACTGTGACAGATACCAATATGAACAGAATTGGGCCCTGTGCCCTCACCACTCAACAATATCCTGACAGTTCCTACCATCGCTGCCGCCCACAGCATAAAGAAAACCGTCAAGATCAGCAACACCCAATGCATACCGAACCGTAGAGATAGGAGCGACGTTGCACGACCATCGGTCAGACGTGGGATCGAATCTGAACTTCATTGCGCGAAAGTCGAGATTCACAGCTTTATCCTTCATGAATGAAGCACTTATTCTGTTCGTAAGCAGTTTTCGGGCCTTCAGTGATTTCTGGGAAATCGTGTATAGACACCAGAGAGTTCGGGAGGAATGGGAAGGAGGTCATTATATAAGGAACATTCATAAAATGAGCAGCAGTGCTAATAGGTAGCGAAAAGCACAACGCACCAGGTACAGTCGTCCATTTGTGGGCGGGCGGGCGCTGTGGGTGTCCAGAATTCGGTTCTGCCAGGCATATTAATCCTACTCGTCTTGGGGAATTATCGTGCAAACTGCGCTTAAGGATTGTTCGAAGGTCGGCAATGAAGATGGAAGATTGTGATAACTGTATAGCCTTTTATGCCTTTGTGCACCTTCAACACCTAGTGATCATGTCATATGTTGCGGGCATGTCACCAGTACGTTCGCTGATGATACGAACAAAGAAGATTCGCAGCGAATAACAGCATGCTCACAAGGTGCTGCATGCGCCGAAGTCGAGCTGTAGAGAACAATGACACTTCAGCAAAACGTGAGATGGTATAGACAAGTAGCGCACCCGGCTTTAGCTAAGCGTGTGGCAGATCGTGGGCCGGGTTGCGTGCCGGCGTTGCTTAGCGTGAAGATGGAGAGATAAAAAACATCCAGCTATGACACTCCAGTCTTAATGACACACTCTTGCAAATGGCAAAGTGGTACCCTTCTACAGATGCGCAGCTGCCACTCACGTTGCAGGTAAGCATGTAGAGTGATAAGATACAATGGCGAAGGGCGGGTAAAAGCTGCACGAAACGTTTCATTGCGGACCAAGGCTTTAGAAACGCTTATGTTTGGGATTGCTCAGGGATGTGTGATACTCGTGGAAACTAAAAATTCATCAAAATAAATGCACCATATCCAGCTTGCTCGAAACACTGCTGTGACCGACAGACAGCATCTCTGCCAAATTGGGTCTTTATTTTCACTGGTTTCTTTTCACTGCAAAAATGCATCTAATACCTTTCACAGCTACTCAGATAGGCTTCTCCATCACGACCGCCAACAACATAAAGCAATTTGTCTAGAACAGCAACACCGGGTCCATACCTAGAAACTTCGTTGAGACACATAGGTACATCTTCCAGAGAAATGGTGAACCTTCGCTTGCTCATGGAATCGACTTGCTTCCACACGGGATTAACTTCCGCAGGATCGAGACGTTCCACAGAAGCGACGACATTATTTTTGCAGCATCCTCCCACTGTAAATTATACAATACTGAAGAACTTAAACGATTACTAGAGTAACTACGTCCGCTTTAAAAGTTTCAGTAGAAACGTAAAGAGAGCTCTGAGAGGCTTCAATCGAACTTCTCAAATCCCTCACAAGGGAACCCCAACAGGTCGATCCGGCCATTTGCAATGAGATGTACATATATGGACGTGTCTTGAGCCGCTGAATCCAAATCTGCTCCTCCGTTTTTGCGGAACGATTCTCTGAAGGGAGTTACGGACCATAATCTTTGCTCTGTTGTACAAGTTGAGGAGGATAGTTGCTTGGGTAAGGTCGCCGATAGCCTAGTGGATAAGTACACTGCTTCAATACACGAGGTTGCATGTTGGAATCCTTGACTATTTAATTTTTGCTTTTGTTCAAACATTCCATATGAGTCCCCAGAACACTTCTGTTTGGCCAATTCACCTAAATCTCTGATTATTTGACAATAGAAGCGGTCATTGCTCCATTTGTGGTTCGTTCTATAAACTTGTACAATGAGGACCAGTCGCCCGGCATGCCAAGCTATTCTCCTTCTCTTTAGCTCGGCTTCGCCGAGCTGGCCTGGCTTCGCCAGGCGCGCATAATTAAAACGCAACTTTTTCGATAGTGGGCTGCTCATACGGCACTGTAGTGATCGAATCGTAATAGATACAGCAACTCTGCGGATCCTGCACTCCTAGCTACGCTTATATTCGCAGTGGTAGTTTGGTCCGTGCCACAACGCCCATACAATACATAAATGTATGGATAGATAGATATAGATATAGATACAATGTGCAGTCGGCCAATAGAAAGCAATATGAATGGCTCAGTAGGAAGAACAAATTCCATTAACTGCACCTAAATGCCTACCGACTAACGCTTCCCTTTTCAATCACCGTGCAACCCTCTTGCTGAAGTACATCAAGTTGAAAGTATCATGCTCCCTGTTCTCATTAGTAACCGAAAAATTAAAAGTAAAAAAGCTATCGAACGCATAAAGCCTGCCTCAATGCCTCATTATTTAGGTTTTCGGTTCTCCTCCACAATTTCCGTCACTTTCCTATTTCACGCAAACTATGTTAGCCCCCCCCCGCCCCCTCCCCCTCGCTCGTCGACATCGACATTGGTAATACGATAGTGGGATGAGTTCATTTTCTACGAGAAGTGACGGCTAAACGAATTTGTACACTGCACCTTCAATACTTGGCATTATAGTGGTAAGAGATGTAATGGGAATGACCCCTTATCATAACCTATCAATTGATAAGATTGCCTGTCGCCCATCATCAATTTCCTATCTAAAACTCTATAATTTGGTAGTGTCAAAGCCCCAACACTTTGACTGAACAACAACGGCAACTTTCCTTATCAGCCCCTATCAGCTGTTATCACCTCCTGTCACCCGCCGTCGATGTTCTCATCTCCCACTCTATCATTTTCTGAAATCAACGCCTAGCTGATGCTGTGTCCTGTGTTATGACTGTGCTGACCTTCCCTTTCTAACTCTCCTTATCAAATCTTATCACCTCCTAGCAGTTCTTGTCACCGACCAATAATGTTCCTGTGCCATACCCTATATCATACCTTGGAATCAACGAACCACAGTTGCTGTGACCCGCATTATGAGCATGTTGACCATATCCTTCTGAGGCCCCTTATCGAATCTTATCAGCTGCTAAAAGTCTAGTAACCCACAAATAATTTTACTGTCTCATCTCGGAACTAGAGTCCCATTGCTGCTGTGACCTGCACTATAGACTGGGTGACCGTACCCTTTGGACGCCCCTTATCAGATCTTATCAGCTGATAACACTTCCTACAACCCACCAATGGTGTTCCTGTCACACCCCCTCCATCACTTCCTGGAACCAAAGTCTCACTGCTACTGGGACAGGTGTTATGAATTTCGTGACACACACACGGATTATATATATACCAGTCGGATCGCCCGGCTGACGCCGAGCTCTCCTCCTTCTCTTTAGCTCGGCTTCGCCGAGCTGGCCTGGCTTCGCCAGGCGCGTGCCATAATTTAACGGAATCTTTTCAATGTTAATCGGAACAGATAGAGCAAGGCTTAGGATCCTCCCTCAGCATATGATGCGTAGTCTGCCAAAAGAGCGCATTTGAACACATCGATGTTTCCCCTTTTCAATTAGCATGCAATCCGCTCCCTGAAGTATAATTATTAGTAGGTACTATACTCCCTTGTTATTCGTTCTCATCTGTAATTGAATGGTCAAAAGTAAAAAGAGCTGTTGAACGCATGAAGCGCCGCATTATTCAGGTTTCTGTTCTCCCTGAGTTTCCTGTTTCAGGCGAACTACATACCCCCCCCCCCGCTCGTCGACATCGACATTATATAGTAGGATGAGTTCATTTTCTAGTGCTATCAGAGAAGTGATGGCTAAGGAAAAGTTTGCACACTGAGCCTTCAATACTTGGAGTATACTGATAATAACAGATGTAAACAGCCCTTTATACACTGGTGTGCAAAACTTAGGGACGAAAGCAACTTTCGATCACTGTGCCTCTGCCAGACAACATAGCTCGATGAAATTCTTGTACAGAAAGCAACTGACAGAAACTCGGAATAAGACGAATTGTTATGACATTTTTATTCAACCATGTCGATTACACATAAGTCTTCACGATTTATCCTGGTACTACAAAAGAAGTTACACGGATCCTAATAGGGTGTGTGATCACCACGGACAGCAATACATGCTCTGCACCGCGATCCCATACTCTCCACGAGGTTGGTAATGAGTTCCTGGGGCAGGGCATTCCACTCAATCAGTGCATTTGACAATTGCTGGATCGTCATTGGTGCATTTGGTCGTGCTGCAATGCGTCTACCCAGTGCATCCCACACGTGCTCGATGGGATTTAGGTCGGGGGAACGGGCGGGCCACTCCATTCGCCGGATATCCTCTCGTTCTAGAAGCTCCTCCACCTGTGCTGTTCGATGCGGTCGCGCATTGTCATCCATGAAAATGAAGTCAGGGCCGATTGCAGCTCTGAAAAGACGGACATGATGTAGGAGAACCTCGTCGCAGTAACGCTGACTGGTGAGGGTTCCATGCTCAAAAATCTGGAGGTCAGTACGGCCATGCAACATGATGCCTCCCCATACCATAACACCTCGACCACCAGTACGATCACGTTCGACAATGTTTCCGGGGGAGTTGCGTGTTCCCACCTCTCGCCATATGAGGGTGCGTCCAGAATCACTGCTCAGACTGAACCTGCTCTCATCCGAAAAGAGCACACGGCTCCATTCCTCATCGGTCCATTCGCCATGCTCCTGGCACCACCGTAAACGGTCTCGCCGATGCGCGGGGGTCAAAGGAACACAACGTAACGGTCGTCGGGCGAAGAGACCACCACCATGCAGTCGTCTTGCCACTGTAGTGCGTGAGATGGCTTGCCCTAGAGTCCTGTTAAACGTCGTTGCAATAGCCGAAGCCGAGGATCTCTTCTTGCCTGCTGCACAATGTAGCGGTCGTCCCTTGGTGTAGTTGTCCTTGGTCGGCCACCTCCTCGTCTTCGGGCAGCAGTACCAAAGGTTCGGAACGCTCTCCATGCACGTGAAACAACGCTGTGAGCGATACCGAACTCCTGGGCTACACTCGTCATGGTTCGACCTTCTTCGAGTTTCCCTATGATCCTTCCTCGAGTGAAGTCATCCAGATGCTCTCTTCGGGACATGATGTATCGAAGGATACTACCACAGTTCTTTGCAGCTACTCGTTGATTGAGAAAAAAATTTTTTTCATACCCATAGACTGCCTCGATTTGCGCGGTCGGCCATATTTGGCACTTTATTCAAGCTCTTCTTCCACCGAGAAAAGTCTAGCTTCCTGTGCATATCCCTTAGGCGAGTGGCAACATGCACTTTCATTTACTTCCACCCAGTCATTAGTGTTTTATGTTACTTTATCCATCTCGTCCCTAAGTTTTGCACACCAGTGTATTATGGGCAGTGTTCCGACTGAAATTATACTGAGACCTGGAATCATTCGCCTTATTCGTTACATAAGCCGTGCCATTTCACCTTCTTCGGTCAGTTGAGGTACTGTTCAACGGCAATTACGACGGTTTGTCGATGGCTGAAAGCTTCAAGCAATTTACTAGCACTTGGTGAGGAAATGAAGCTATGCACTAGGAGCGAGCCTACCAAAGTCTGCTTTTCATCATTTCCCGTCTTCGTATTATCGCTGTTCGTTTGTTATATGTGTTGTTAATGGAAGATATCGGCTTTTGTGTTAGTTCATGCTATTTGACAACATCGCATTTACAGAAGCGTTTGCACAAAGTGTGCGACGTTTCGTGACACGCTAAAGGTAATGCCCGCGATCACTTGTCATTACAGTTAGAGAGTGTAGACTCATAATCTCACTCTGAGCCACGAGTTCGATCCCTGCCGAGGCACAAACCTGCCTTGCAAAAATTGCAAAAATGGGGACGATACCAGCGTCAGGCCCAGGTTGACAGGCCGGCTGATGGAGGAACCCGTCACAACAACCATGACAAGTCGCAA